GTGTGGAGTTAAGTGTTTTTCTGTACTTGACACTTTGTAAAAGCATTATTTTTATGTCATCGTATTTCACCTTGTACAATTTTGACCAGAGAACCAAAAAGACAGAGATGTATGTACACTGTATGAAGTTCGAGGAGGTATCTGCGTCGGCGTGCGTAGACTGCGACTGAACGGATAAAGGTAATGAGTAGAGACACATTGTTTCAACTGTGGAGCCTTTTCATACACCGTAGCCTGCAAAACCTCACGATACTGTGCAGAGAGACGTTTACTGTATGTCCACACCTGGGACTATACGAGTCATGATAGACAATATGTAATATAATGTGTTATTAAAATAGACATGCTTTGCTTTTAGGTCTCTTAGTTTAGATCAACAATCAACATCAACACAAACAGTAAAAGCAGCCTTTCTTTTAGGGAGCAAAAATAATCATGTACTGTATCCTATTTTTATAAACTATAAAAAGATCAAAATTTCTTGTGCATTATTTGCCAATTTACAAGTATGTATGAGCCCATGGTTCATATTAATAGAACAATAGCTGCAATTCGTGGTTTTTAATTATTTAGCCTTGATAAGTGAGCTGAATTTTTATCTGTATTTTGGATAAATATTATACAGTGGCAATCAAAAGTATTCTCCCCCTTGGACTTTTATGGAATATGGATTCTTTATGTATTTAATTAGGAATGTTTTGCCATTGACCAAGACAAAACCCTATAACGTGGAAGTGAATATAGCGAATGTGTGAAGATCCCCCTAAATTAATTCTAAATATAAAACAGAAACATCGGATTGCATAAATCCCCCCTTGAGTCAATATTTGGTAGAGGCAGCTTTGGCAGAAATTATAGCCATGAGGCTTCTTGGACTCAAGTCATACAAGCTTGGCACCTCTGGACACTGAAAATGGTATCCATTCTTTGCAAAATTGCTCTACCTCCCTCAATGCCAGATAGGGACCATTGGTGAACAGCAGTTTTCACCTCCTGGCACAGATTCTAGATTTGATTGAGGTTCAGGTTCAACTCCAGATCTCCATTAAGTTTTTGTTTTTCAACCACTCAAGTGTGGCTATGGCTGAATGGTCTGGGTCATTGTCCTGCTGAAAGATTAATCTTCTCCCAGGTTTTTTGCAGTCACTAACAGGTTTTCCTCCAGGATTTCTCTCTTCTTTGCTGCATCCACTTTGTCTTCTATCTTCACATTATTTCCAGGCCCTGACATAGCGAAGCTGCATGCTGCTGCCACCACCGCGCTTCAGGGTAGCGATGATGGTCTCAGGGTGACATGCTGTGTTACACTGGTGCCAAACTTAGATGTTAGCCTGAGGCCAAACGTTTCATTGTGGTCACATCAGACCATAGAATCTTCTTCCACTTGGTCTCGGAGTGTTCCAAATACCTTCTGGCAAACTGTAGTCGAGATTCGAGGGGGGGTTCCCCAACAGTGGCTTTCATTTTGTCACTTTCACATGAAGCCCAGATTTGTGCAGCATCTGGGCTTTTGTTGTTGTATGCACAGTCTCTCCCATCTCAGGCAAGGAAGACATTAAGTCCTTTTGAGATGTTGTAGGCCTCTTGGTGTCCTCTCTGACTAGTGACTTCCCGACTTCTCACCCAGACACTTAATTTTTGTGTGCTCAGATTCACAGTACTGCCTTATTTTCTCCATTTCTTTATAATGGATTTTATTGTCCTTTTGGAGATATTCAGTGCCTTAGAAAATTTCTTATACCCTTCCGCTGATTGGTGCTTTTCAATAACTCTGTCCTGTATTTGCTTTAAATGTCTTCATGATGTGCTTTGTTAGGTGATGTACTAATCAACTGTTGGGCCTCCAAGAGATAGGTGTATTTAACCTGAACACATGCAAATGCCTTAATAGCACAAAAGAGGACTCTATTCAAATAGTTATATACCTTCTAAAGATTATTTTTTGCACTAGAGTGTATTTAGATTTGTCACAGCAAAAAGAGTTGAATGCTTATGTAATCAGTTATTTTCTGTTTTATGGTTATCATTAATTTTGGATAGAATTGCTGTAGAATGTTGTTGACACTTTGATATTATAGTGTTTTTGTGTTGATCAATGGCAAGCAAATCCAATTAAATACATTGTAATCCATAGTGTAACACAATAAAATGAGAAAAATACAAGCAGTAAAGACTTAATAGCCACTAAAAAAGCAATCAAACTGGGTGACTGATCATCGTGTGTTCTTGTTTGAAGAAAAGACGCGATAGCCAGACAGTAGGGTGATGTTTAGATAAAATAACATCTCTTGTGGTTTTAAAACGGGTGTGACGTCAGCAGAGTCTAGAAGGAGAGAGACAACAAATTCAGACAGGAATGTTTGGAACAGCACTTTCATGCTTTTCTTGAAAACCCAACCAGGAGACATGATTGGGATGAATTCCGTCTGCCCATTTGGCATAAATGCAGTGGTGAATCCAGGGAATGTTCTCGGACCTCCCATTTAAAAGGAATGGCTTTCAAGGCTCCACTTTGCAGCAGTTGAGTGAATTCCCAGATTTGGTAAACGTCTTCAAAAGCTAGCTGTTCACTTGCGTAGGCTGTAGGAGTCAAAACCATGTACAGGGTCTCATGAAAATCTTTCTCTGCTGATATGACCAACTGAAACAATGCTTTTCACAATCACAAGTGAATGCTGTGTTTTGATGCGCAGTGTACAGTCTATGACGATGCTTACTGGGATATTTTATTATGTGAAGAAAGGCATGATGAAGTGAAATGTCTCTCTGGGAGCTTCTTTCTGTGTGACGTGTCTTTGTTTAGAAGCAGATTTAGAAAATGGAATAAAAGAGCTTTGTGGAAGCTGCCTCCCTTTCTGAATGACACAAATTTGCAAATGTTATGTAAATCTCATGCTAAACAAGTCAGAAAGACTACCAGGCTGAACGCTTCCAGCCTTCATCAACTTCAATCCCATTTTTTGTCATGTTTAGGACAATGACATGGTTTTCGTTGTTTTCTTCAGAAATCTGCAATATGCCAAGTGTTTGATAGGCCCAGATTGACTGAAGCTCCTTTTTGCTCCCGCATTTGAAGAAACATCTCGTGATTTGTGGTTAATTAAAAGACAATCATCACAATGGTGATGTTTTCATCCATAAGTGTGACAGAGCACCACTGGTAGTACCTCCTTCCACAAATGTGCGGATCTACTTGCAATTCATGCAACAGCTGAACAACAAGGAGGATGTATCTACCTTCCCTTCCTGTAGCCTACTGTATGCAATATAAGCCTTTAAGTGTTTATCTTTAGTAAAGAAAGAGTTTTTTTCACTTTATCAATGCACAAAATAGCTGAGTTAGACTGAAATATGAGTTTGTAGCTGTAGCTCATGAAGAACAAAGCTAGCTCTGGCATTTTTCATTCTCTGTAAAGGACTTGATGTCATAATTAAAGCCATACAGTATTTCAATCCCTATCGTAATATTGGAATTACATTTAAAGGTCAAATGTAGCTCTAGTTGCCTGGTTCATGTGGTTTAGACTCACTGATAATATTCATTTGCACCTTTCATAAAAATTAAAATTAAGTGAATATATAAAATACATACTGTAAAACTCCTTCAATACAAGATGTCTGTAGTTTTTAAGTGATGACATCAGTAAGCCATAGTTATGAAACAATACTAAACCATATTGTTCTTCCTCAGACACCGATTTTCATCGTACTTTCGTACATGTTCAAGTACTAACTGTACTAGTTTTCTACTGAAGGTTTCTCTGTTAGTGTGTAAATCCTAGATCACTTCTTTTTCTCCACACGCATTTCTCTCCTTTTTAGAGTTGAGCAACATCACATTGACTCATGTTCCTGCTAAATCCATGCTTTGCGGATGAAATGTGAGGTATAACTAAATTCAACTGTATATTTCAGAGCACAGTCAACAAACGTATCTCGAAGGGAACAGGACTGTGTATTTCAGAATGCTTTGTTAAACTCAAAATGGATAAATTTTGTATCCATTGTATCCATTGTAAGAAAATTTTGTATAGTGGCTGCAGCTTCGAAAAATAATTTTCTCTTACTCTCCTGCTGTCAGACAAGATTGCAAAATTGTTAATTCAATCTTAGTTATATTGTGTTGCCTGCTAGATTATCTGCAACATTGTTACAGATATCTAAGGACTTGCACATTTTAGCCACTTTTTGATGATTTGTTCTTTTTTGTACATTTCCTGTTTTATTATTTTTATCCAATTTCTTACTGTCCAGTTATAACAGCCATTCAGAATTTTTGTAGGAGTTTAATTCTGCTATCTTTCCATAGGTCACCGTCTCCTGGGGTGAGTGAGTTTGTTGTGTTGCCATTGAGCCAGTTACCTTCCTCATTGCAATTCAAAACATGATCTTTTGAAAATGGTATCACCAATAATACTACCCATCCATTATTTATTAAAATACTCAACACTAATGCAGGGCTGTTATTTGGTTCCACAATAAAAAGCATGCACTGCAGGAACGTGACTCAATGGTGTGAGAAGTGGGATCATTGCTGTACTGTGCCAAAGTACCCCCTGTAATTCAATACTAAGCACATACTTTGTTTAACCATTGGTTTTCGCATTATTGAATTCAAGTATTAAACAACTACATCTGCTGCACTCTGCATGTCTTAGAAATGTTGCAGGGTGAGTCTAGGGTGGCTTTAATTCCCACTGGCTGATTGCATTCTGGGACAGAAAATCATTTGGCACTAGGAAATTTCTAATAAAGTGAACTGACTCTTGGTCATTATCTAAATGTCTGCGGGCAAATTGAGCTGCAGATAAAATCTCCAACACGAATCGGAGGCTTTCCGTCTCTCGGTTGAGATCAAGCATAAAAACTGGTCTTTGTAATGGTGCCATACTACTCGAAGGTGTACCAAGATTTGACTCCTGACCCAAGAAATAATCTTGTTTTTTGAGCAGCATCAGCTCTAAGCTGTTGACCTTTTTGTTTTCTTTCTCCCCCGTCAGGTGACCCAGCTGGACCCTTCGTGGACTTTAGTGGAGGCAAAATTATTTCCCCAAGAAACTCTCTTCCTGGAAGCAAAAGAGTAGAAGAAGAGAGGCATCCCGGAGGAAGGCAGACCAGCATGCCCATCGACTGGGAAGACTCACTGCAAAGAGCCAGCGAGCTGTCTACTCCTTCAACTCACAACACACACGCTCTCACACACACCGACATGCACACACTCTTCCTCTCTCTCAACTCTCTGTATCACAGTCTCTGTCCACATGCTCGCTCCTGAGTAACACCAAGCAGGACTTCACACAAAGGCTTCTTAGATACGTTTGTGTGTAAAGAAGAAAGCAAAACGAAAGACGATACCTGGAAAAAAGGCTGTACTTTCTCCTTGGCCTTCCCTTCTCGATCCCTCCCAGTCACAGGTGGCCTATCCACCTTCACGCTGCTGAGATGTGAATGGTCACCCATTAGGACTTGACTCTCATCTTCCCTCCCTCCTGCCCCCTCGATGATCTTGCGTCTGCTTGATTTCATTGGTTCCCACTCCATCCAGTCCCCATATCATTTTTGAGTTGAATGCTGTATTTGTTTTAGTTTGTTATACAGTATATAAAAATATATATAAATAATGTACTTGACTGAGCCAGCACTCTCTTGAATATACATGCATGCTGATTTTTTTTTAATTTTTAACTTTTTTTTAATTTATAAGGAGCTCTCAATACAAAGAAAAATCCTAATTCTGCCATGAAGAATACACAGTATTCAGGGTTGAAATACAATTCTTTTTGTTACTAAATGATTTCCTTTTGCCATTCAAATGATGTTCAGGTATTATAAAGAATATAATTTGACATTTATTATTCATATTTATTTTGGAAGCTTTTACTGCCCGTTATCCCTTCAGGCTTGTTTACCAGCATGTATTTATTTATTTTTTTTCATGGTGTGTGCATAAGCTTTTTTTTTTTAAAGCTCTAGTTGTTTATATATTGGCTTCCTGTGAGTTTCCAATCACCAGCTCTTATAGCGCAAACATTAAATTGTTCTCAGGATTCTTCAGTTGGATTTGGGATCATTTATGGAGATTCCAACCTCGTGCTTGGGCCAGATCACTGTATGCTCACATTGCATACCATTTAATCCCACCCTCAGATAAACTGGCGCGATTGGTGTGCCTTTACACACGTGCTTGCAGATGTCTCGGAGGGAGAAAGAGACGGACGGGTCTTTTGAAACAGAGAGTGTTTTGGTCTGTTAGCTTGAATACACACTTTGACAGCAGCAAAACATTGTCCACGTGTGGCGTTCTGTGTTTGCATTCATCTTCAGAGCTAGTGTGGTGGCTTCAACGGAGACAGGGATGTACAGGCCGAGTGGCTTTCAGAACCAAAAGAGCACGGCTAATATTAACCCGCTATTTTGGACCGATTGTCATGCCAATGTCTGGCAAATGGCAATACCAAAACTTCAAGCAGTACCTTTTCAGATGTAGAGAAACGTGTCAGTAATCAATTCTGTCATTCAGTGGAAAGGAAAAATAATTTATGCCTTCTATGTAATTTATATTGAGTATTTACTCACCCCAGTGATGCTACATTATAAAAAGGTGACCACAGGGATATTTGTCCTCAAGTGAACATGGAGCCTCTCAGTTACTGATGCTAATCTTTACAGGATTGAGCACAGAATTGTGGGTAATCCATGTACAGTTTATGGTATTTTTAAAAGCTTAAAAAGTTTAAAGCTGCACCCTGAGATATTCTCATTTTCATTGAGGAGCTGGCAAAACAAAAGTGTCAAGACTAGCCAAAAAAACAGTGATTTATTGAAATGATTTATTTCTAGTGTATGTAGTTAATGTTGTAAAAATCTAATTGGCTTTGAAAGCACATTATAAGCATTCATTTATTTGTCTCTCAAATAAATGTCATTGTTCAGGTGCACGTACAACTTAATTTAAATATCTCAACTGATTGAAGTCAATATTCCCTGGTACAATGACTGGGAAAAAACATAAAATGGTATTATAAAGAAACAATGAGAAAAAAAATCAACAGACCTTTTAATATGAATAAATTTGATTAAATTAATATACAGAAATAGTGTACAACCGTTTATGAAATTCTGATTTTATAGCTTTTATTCACGGTACTAACATAATTTAGTAGTTATGACAGATTGCATAATACTGTGAACAAGCCATTTGAGTGCTCAAGTGCAGTGAGTTTCATAAATTACTTGTCTGATGTACCAGGGTCCTTTGGTCCGCAGTTGATCTCAACTTGGGATTTTGAAAGCAAGAAACCTTTTGGTTGTGTGAATGCTGTGTGCCTTGTTCCTTTATGGAACATGTATGGGGTGTCATGGCTGCAGTGTTTCAGCAGGCTAAGGACAGCAGTGACGGCTTTGTGTTTAACCCTGTGAGGACTTTGCTGTTTACGGATGGCTGTGATGATAAGTTCGATAAACAGGTACTTGTTTGCAAAGTACCTGCAAGATATTGGAATGGTAGATGTTTGATTATGTTGAAATAGCCAGCATCCAAGAAAATTACTGTTTTTTTTTGTTTAATTTATTTAGTATTTCTTTTTCTCATAATTAAGCTCATAAACCTAGGAGGATGATCATGCCTGTTCTTGTGTTCCTGAGCTATTGTGCAACAGCTTAACATTTTAAAAAGTCTGAATAAAGTTAACTGGAAATTATTGCACTTTTACAAAGGGAAAAGTGGCAATCTCCCAAAATTCAGAACTTGTTCTGAACATTTCTTGGAAGTCTCGTTTTCGCAACTCTACAGTATTTCACTCTTGACTCCTGTACATCGAATTTTAAACTGAATTCTTAATAAAAGTTCTGATTCTCACCTCTGCTGTGCATTTCGCTATCTGAAATGGTGTTTCGTGATCTAAGGCTTGGGATGCCCCCTGGAATTATCAGGTTTTGCCCAAAATGCCAAATAAATATGGCTAGGGAGGTAGAATTTGTTAAAGGTGTACTGTGCCTGTCACGCACTGATTCTGAGTCTGTCTAATGTTTGATGTATTTGGTTGAGAATATTTACCCCAAGTTAAATCTGCTTTTGATCTCTTAGACACTTATTTTCCAAAATAAGGCGGGAACTCCATTGAGGCCATTGGGAGGAAATCGGGTGAAGTTTTAAATGGTACTTAAGTATTGCATTTCTCTTTTAAAAGTTCATATCTGTTTTATAACAACTTTTTTTTTCTGAGCTCCACTGTCACTGTGGTAGTAATGTGACCTTCAGTGTAGCACATAGCTTGGCTTTTCTTGTGAGACCTGTGCAGATACAATTCAGACGCAGTGAAGCTGGGGGTGAGGCGCCTCAGGTGCACAGAAGACCTTCTGTTAATGTCTGTCAGTAGGGATTTACATCTCTGATGAGGAAGCTTTGAAATGAAGAACTATTACACTCTTAATTCAATGATTTCTGTTAAGTTGAATAATTTGCCTCTTTTGTTCAGGTCAAATTGATGTGTCTTTGAACATGATAGCAGAGAAATACTTTTTTATATCTTTGGGAGTGGGGTGGATGTATGAAACATCTTATAGAGGGATTTTATCTGTAAAATGTGTCATGGAACAATTTTTGTATCAGATGTTGAGGTTGCATCGCTTTAGTCCACAGTGCTTAGCTGAGAGTAGACCAAGCTTTACATTCACTGGTACACAGGGAGCACTGATTTGGCATGTCTATCCACTCTCAGTATCATTTATCTGCAGTGCAATCTCCCAGATCTCAACAACTAATTGTATTTGTACGCAAAGCAAAGTTAAGATACTTGTAAAGCTAAGCCACTTTTTACTATATTTGATTTGTTTTTGTGGGTCTAAACAAATTTCTTCACGATCGCAAGTCTTGCCGCTTCTCTTCATGAGACTGTTTCTTTGTGCTATTGCACCTCATGTGTGACACTGTGGTACTGTCTCAGTGGCTCAGTCTGTCAGTTTTAGCCTGCCTCTCCTGACATTCTTTCCTCACCTGTTCTGGCAAGTCCAGCTTTATCTTTGCATTTTTCTGTTAACAATGTTAATATCAAAATTGATGGAACTCTTTAAGGTTTCTCTTCAAAAGTATCCAAGGCACAGAGTATCAGTCTTGCTGTAAGGATATTTGCTGTGTTGTTTAATCTCATTGGAGCACAGTGTAACTGTCGCATATATCTCCCTTTAAGATGCATTGGTTCAGACAAAGCACTCTCTTGTTTGAGTCAAATCAAAACCAGACTTTTAATAGAGAGATACTGTACGTGTCTCTTTCATTTAATACTGATCTGCTCTTTGTATTATGACCAATGCATTTTACATGAGCAGAAACGTGAGATTTAAAAGTCACATGGTCCACAGGTTCTTCAATTTATTTCTGTGAAGAGAGTAAAACCAATTTTTTGTATCCTAAAAAAAGAAAGCAAAGTACAGTGAGATTTTATGAAATAGCATGAAATCCAGTTTTCTTTCAAAAAACATCAGGGTGAAATCCTCAAATCAGTCAGCTACCAGCAGCCAGACTGTTTAGATATGCCCAGTGCCCTCCTCTTATTAATATCCTTTCTAATGTTCTTATGAAATATAAAGATATTCCTTTATGCAGTTGTATATATAGGTGCAAAGTCTGTCTTTTGAAAGTTTACTGAAACTCTTGGTAAGCATTTCTAGGCATATTAAAACCATAGGACAATGGGGAATATGATGCAAATTTACCATGGTAAACGGTCATAAGGGTTATTTCTTTACAATTAAGGGCAGAAAAACATGGATGTGAGAGTATGGAAAAAATGTACTCCTGCAGAAAGGAAAAGCCTAAATGAAAGCTGAATTTTAGTTTGTAATGTCTCTTTGTGTGAAGTTGTGTTCACTGCCATTCTGTTTCCAGGAGCACTGACCTAAATAATGATATTTCACAATGATAAATAATAATGTGCAAAAACCAGAAGAATTCTCTGAAGGATTAAGTCAAATATATTTAATAGTTTCTGCCTGATACTGGCTTTATTGAATTGTGAAAAAATAGATTTTACATACCAGCTAGACATTCCACATTGGCATTCTCTATTTTCCCTCTATTCTCCATCATTATTGTATCAAATGAAGGGTATTCCCTTGAAAAAATATTTTGTAAAGCTCATGCTGCTGGAACAGTTTTTTCCAGATTGCAAGTAAACTGGTTTTAATTCATGTGAAATCACAGTAAAGTTGGCATAGGATTACCAGGAAAAATGGAATACAGATAAGTGAACTTGAGCACCAGCCCCTCCTTTATTCCTTCTGGATTTCCATCTGTCCCACAGAATCCTGTCTTCCACGAGGAACATGTTTACAGGCAAATGATTTCTGCTCATGTGGAGGACACCCAAGCCGGTTACAGAGATGCTAACAGAGAAGTCAAGAAAATTGGATTGAAAATGTGGAAAAAGTCACCGTATAAAACAGTGATTACATTTCTACAGCCAGGGGAGCTTCGTGTCTTCTGCTTTAGGGTGGGGGAAAAATGTATACTAACGTTTCTTGAGGGAAGAAGGTTGTTTTTGCAGCCTTAGATCAAAAGAACAATTTCTGTCACTGTAACCACAACAGAGGAGGCATCTCGTTTGTAGTGTGTGGCTTGGCATTACAAATTGAAATGTTCTCGTTTGTGTTTGCCTTGTACATGACATGCCTTCCCGAACGGTGACAAAAACCGCCACTTTGTCGGAAAAGCATTCCTGTATCCTCCTCACATGGTAGTGGTTAATTCCGTGGCATTGTCAGAAGACAAAACCAACATTTCCAAATTGTCTGTATAAGAGCTGGGCCTCAGATTCAAACGAAATGAAATGCCTTTTGATACCAGAACATCAACCTACTCTTAGGACTGGGCTTTGTGTTCTCTGACTCCACTGATCTGCCTCTTCCGCCAGAAGACTGGCAAGCTGTACAGCAGGCACTTTGGGCAACTCGGTAGACGTCTGGTGGCATGCTGCCATGCTGTCTCCGAGACACCATCACAGCTGTGACTCGTATAAGCATTTCTGAGGCAAGAAAGTCGTATTTGAAGCTGATAAACATCTCAGGATGAAGAACTGCCTCTGTGACACCTGCTGCCAAATCTTTAGCTCCGCGAGCCATGTGGGTCATGCAAGAGACATACACAGTGTCTCAAGCTCTGCTCTCTCCAGGGATATCAGATCACTCAGGAAATTTGTGGTAGAAGCTCACTGTTTTGTCTGTAAACCTCAATGGTTTCTGAAATTTTTCATCATGAGGGGGCAAAAAATAGTTAAAAGGGTTAGAACCCCTTTGTTCATTTACAGTATGTGGAATTTATTCAAGGAGATCTCAATATTTACCATGTTTTGCCTGTTTTTTCAGCTTCCGGGCTTCATCAACTCTAAGCTAGAAATGCATTTCATGTTGTTGCTTTCAATAGGCACCCCTTTCACTTAGCCTGAAGTGAAGTAATCGGAATACTACTATTGCTACAGTCAAGTTACGTCTCAAGTTACTCAAAGATTAGTTTTAGATTTGCGTTGTGTTGGGATGAAACAATGGGTTGTTAGCTTGAGAGCATTTTTTTTTCTTTAATCAGATTCTTGCATGAGGTCTAGTTTGTTGATGTAAAATGGTGGACTCCGTGGACATTTAGTGAATATGTATGCAAGGATGCCACTGAATGAAAGTGAAAGTCTTTATTGGTACGTACACACCATTCATTATGCAAACGTGCATTCCTATTAGATTTCAGATTCCGTTAATATGAGTCCAACATTTTGATAGGTCTGATTGGGAGGTTACAGTGCATCTTGGAAGCTTGCAAGCACAGGTGATGAAAATCTATTTAATCGCACCGGCCTCTATGAACAAACCAAAAGTAATGAAACTTATGTGTCCTCTAGCAGTTTGTTTTAATCGGGCTGTCATCCTCTCAAGCCACTGTGAAAATCTGTTTCTGAACCTCGGCATCGCGCGGCAGTGTTTTTCCAAACCTCTCCCCGCATTATCTGCTCCGGAGGCTAATTTCCCAGTTCAGCATTGAGCTTTAAGGCTTATCTCCCCCATCTGTACTGGCTTTGCACGAGGAAAAAAGGCACAGGTCCTGGAAGGTGCCACGGTCCTGGCGGTTTAAAAATAGTTCTCACATGTTTGTGAAAGGAGCATTTCTAATTAGCCAACATGGAAAGCTGAAACCCGATTTCAGCTGACAAGAAAAGACGATGATGGCCGCGTTTATTGCAGTTCTGCATATGGGTTTGTCATACTTAAAAGTAGCAGTAGCACTGATGGCTAGTACGCAAATGGCTCATGTAATGTCCCCTTCTATGGACTGAACTGGAAGTCATCCAATGAACTTGTCAACCTACTGTATATTCGGTAATGCTGGTTTAAGTCAGAGCAAACAGACGACAAAATTCATGAAGCACTTCACTAATGTGCCTGTTCCATGAACAGTTACAAAGGCTGAAAGTGTCTTATTTATTTTTACTTTTAGTGGCAGTGACATGAACTGGCAGCAGACAGGAGCTGGCCATCTGGCCCATTTTCTTTTGCTTGGCTGCTGGTAGCATTCTCATCCTGGAACCTTTAAAGGCTACTTTTGAATATCCCAGTGAAGCAACTTGTACAGCTTGGGTTCTTTCTAAAATATGAACCCTTTGGTCTGTTCTGATCACACTGACACTTTGTAGAACAGTCTTAAGAACTAACAGTCCAGCTAGTTGTTTGTGAGCAGGATTGCCAGTGGTTAATGATTTGATTTGATTTTAATCTGTCACAACATGAAGCAGCAAATTAAGTAAATAAACGGGCACTTTCATCAATCCTTGTTCAGACATCTGTAATATTTATAACCTCAAGCAGAAAAGCTAGGGAGTAAATACATTTCACTAGTCAGAACAGTGCTCAAACTGAAATCCCTTAATCAATTTACTTAAAGGACTGTTCTGTAACTCCCAGCATAAAATCTGTTCGATTGCGAAATGCTGAGAGATTTGAGACACAATGCATAACATTTTAAGTACATTACTTCTTGTTAAGGTTTTTGGTTTATTTTCACAGACAGCTGTTTAATTTAACTCCCTGAGAATCTGATCAAACTAGCTTATTGCAAGCAAATTGCAAT